TGTGCTTCTTGGCAGAAGGTTGACTCCTCTTAAAAGTCCATACAAGTCTCCTCCTCTGGATTCCAGACTCCCTCCCTTTCTCCCTTCAGGCCAAGGGGGTGATAACATCTCAGCTGCTTTTATACCCTTGGTTACTACACCCCCTGTGGTTCCCCTACACCCACACCTTTGTAAATAGTCCGTTTGTAAATAAAACTTTCTCAGGTTATCCTATTTAGAGTGTGTTATTTGATTGCTGATGGGACCCTGACTGATACAGTTAGTGTGATAATATATTTTTATTTTACTATAAATAATATTCAATATCTTCTTTTCAAAATAATGTATTTGTTGGGCTTGCCCAGTGGCATAGTGGTTAAGTTCATGCACTCCACTTCAGAGGCCCACGGTTCGGGGGTTCGGATCCCCCGCGCAGACCTATGCACTGCTCATCAAGGCATGCTGTGGTGGCATCCCACATACAAAACAGAGGAAGATAGGCACAAATATTAGCTCAGGGCCAATCTTCCTCAGCAAAAAGAAGAAGATTGGCAAGAGATGTTAGCTCGGGGCCAATCTTCCTCACAAATAATGATAATAGTAATAATAATGTATTTGTTTATAACATTTACCCACGAATTTCAAAGAACTATATAAAAAATAATTTCCACAACATTCTTGGTAGAAAGATATGAGAGGATAATTTTAAAAAGAGAATAAAATCACAACTCTCATACAAATATTCAATCAACATGTGTCTAATCATGAGAAAAACAGCAAATTCCAGTAGAGGGGCCTCCTACAATATACCTGACCAGGACTCCTCAAAACTGTCAAGGTCATTGAAAACAAGGATGGTCTGAGAAACTGTCACAGCCTAAGGAAACATGACAACGAAATGTAATGTGGCATCCTGGATGGGACCAGGAAAAGGATTTAGAGAAAAACTAATGAAATCTGAATCAAGTATGGAGTTTAATTTAATGTACCTGTGCTGGTTCCTTAGTTGTGACAAACATACCATAGTAATTTGAGAAGTTAGGAATAGGGGAAATTGGGTAAGGGTATTATGGGAACTTCTGTACTTTCTTTGCAACTTTTCTGTACACTTCATTCCAAAATTTAAAGTTTATTTTAAAAAAAGAGAGAGCCCAAGGTGCTATACATTTATAGTCAGGTAAGGAGTGCTGAAATGAATTTACAAATGGATGCAAAACTGGCAAAACTTGTCAATATCCACAGAATAATAATTAAATTTTACATTTTTACCGACAGGAGTGATTTGTTTACTATCAGTGTTCAAAAAGCTAACTTCTCTGCAGAGGTGTAAAACAGCCTAGTCAAAGACAACCTCTATATAGCCCTATAGGAATAGGTAATCCCCATAGGCTCCAGCACTCCATTAAAAGGATATCTAGAAATCTCTTTTGCCCATTTCAAAATCTTTCACAATTTTTTAAAACAAAAGATGCAGGTGTCAAAATTATAAAAAGCCCAGGGCTGGCCCCATGGCTTAGCGGTTAAGTGCGCGCGCTCTGCTACTGGCAGCCCGGGTTCGGATCCCGGGCGAGTACCGACGTACGGCTTCTCCGGTCATGCTGAGGCTGCGTCCCACATACAACAACTAGAAGGATGTGCAGCTATGACATACAACTATCTACTGGGGCTTTGGGGGGAAAATAAATAAATAAATAAATAATTATTAAAAAAATTATAAAAAGCCCTTACAACAGGCTGGCCTAACTTGACAAAATGGCTAAGAGAAGTATACAAATATTCAAAAGGTTATGCAGTGCTTTGCTAAGTTATCACAACATTATGAACTGAAAAATAACCCAAAGATCAAGATAATTTATCAGTCTACCCTGGGGAAACTCTACAGACTGCCAAAGACATACATCATTGTCTTAGAGTTAAAAAGCACTTGCTATATTATGTTACCTAGGCAACACACAAGCAAATGGTGCAGTAATAAAATAAGAATTAAAAAAAGCAAATTGAACAAAGAGAACAATCAATATTAGGTTCCAAACTAAATTCCAACCCCTGCCTGGTTGTACTACTCATGTTAAAGATGGACTCAGCTCTTAGGTGGGAATATTATTTTCCCAGGCCTTATATTTCCATATGGAAGGCTTTCAAGTGGATTAACACTCGCAGCCTCAGTTTCTGCCTACGTAAGAAGAGGCTCCACGGCAAAATATATGGTTGTGATTTGGAGCATTTGCCCTTGAACTTTTTATCTCAGGCTCCTTTTTACATCTGTTTGTTTTCTCTTTCCTCACAGTCTCAACGCATGAGGCAAGTGTCTTGAAGCCAGAACTCATATGGGTCTTTCACACCTCAGTTTCAGATGCCCTGGTAGAAGAGTGACTCTCTCTCACAGTAAATTAACAGAGAGACTTCTGAATACGATCTGGTATCCCACGCTTCCCAGGGGAAAATATGCTGATCATACCTGATGTGAGAATTTCCACTCCACATCACAGCAATATTTCTTCTTATAAATGAATAAACTAGTATTCCAGTTCTACCCCCATCTCACGTGCATTTTAGTTAGTGTGAACCAGTTTCTCAGAACCTGATCACCTCCCTAAGCACTGAAAAAATATAAATCTCTGAGCTGTGAAGTGGGTGGCTAGATTTCTTCCAGCCTTCCCCAGGATGAACCATCTACCGCTTCCAATTGCCCTTCTACTGATTAACACAGCCTCAGGTAAGAGGCTCATTGTAGAGCTACATTTTGGGAAAAGCTCTGCTTATTTTGAGAACTGTGAAACAGATTATAGTTCCTTTCTCTTTCCTTTCCTCTTTACAGTCAGGAAGCTTAGCGTCAACTGGAAAGGATCTTTTAGAAGTAGTTTTCAAATTTTTCATGTTTGTGAAATACTTTTAAATGTTAAAATTTGGGGCAGCCAACTTGAATGAATTAAACAATTTAATACAACTCTAAATCAATTATTGTACCCTCTCAGAGGGCCTAGAATGCATTCACAATTAACCCTCTATCCATATGGTCCCTTTTCAACAGTGTAGCTGTTTGAGAACTATTCCTGCCTAGACAGTGATTTCTTATATATTCACCAGACAAAGCTCTCTTATTATCCAGTGAACCACCATCTTCCCCTAGAGCCAACTTAATGTTGTGTTTTGCCTTTTCCCTCTAACTTGAAGCAATCTGTACAACATGCTCCACCTCGGCATTACATATGATGGAAATAATTGTTTTATAACAAAACTTAACATTATATATCTGTGAAAACTTTGCTACATACTGTATCATCTTAGCACTCCAGTAAGAACCACTGTCTTAACTGTTTTCAGTTTCCCCCACTGAGACTTACTGACATAATTCTATTTTCTTTACTCCTAATGCTTTATTTTTATTCACATTTTACTATTGTATTGCATGTATGTGTTGCCTTCTTAAATTCTTTGTGGAATGAGACTAGATATTCAAAAAAATAAATACAGTACAGAAGGGCAATTTTCTCCTTGGTGCCTACTCTCTACTGCCCTCTGCAGGTAGAAGGAAAGAAAAAGCGAGCCACAACCTATTACTACGAACAGCAACGTCTAGGAGATCGTCACTCAATAGGAAGGTTTAAAGTAATTGGTGATTTTTGAGAGGCTAACCATTACCAACTAGACTCCATCTACTCACAGGAGGAGTTTCCCAATTTGCTAAAGTCCCTTCACCTTAGAAAGATCTTTGGGAACCATATATTCTATTTTCAAGAGACCTCCCTATCTGATGCACCGATGTACAAATGGACTTGAAAGTCCTATCTCATTCTCAGCCAAGGCATAGAGACTCTGTGCCCAAGTTCCTTCCAGTCTTGTAAAACTTAAGTCTGAGAGTGAACAGGAAAAGAGACTCAATAGTTATAATGGCATAAAGGTGCAGACATTAAGCAATGCAACTTGTCTGTGCTTTGCAAATGTCAACAAATGTAGGAACCCCTGCAATGCAGCTATCAGAGATAATGTGAGATTTTGCTTTTCATTTTTGCAGAGCGTAAGGCAGCCTGCATGATAACCAGGAAACAGCCGGCTTCAATTTTGTGTAGAAAGGACCGTCGATTATGCATGGATTATGTTCTTCAGTCACACTACTTTGCATGGATAGCAACAGTCAGTGATGTCATCTTCTAAAACAACAGACTCGAATGTATAGGCCTATTGTGCCAACTGAGCCCAAATCAATGACCTGGGTAATGCAATCAGGGTAACACTATTGTTCCTCGTCTAAATCCTGCAAGCCTATAGAAAAATAATGCTAATCTGATGCATGTTCAAGGAATACGTTATGTGGGAAAGAAAATCAAGCCCTTGTCTAATTTTATTTACATTCTAATATGTACTTACAGGAAACACAACAGAATTTGATATCATTACATGCATCAGAACGTGTCGTTTTATTTTTGTATTAGTAGCAGGTTAAAAAAATTATTAACACACACTTTCTTGGATAAGGACATTTCTAGTGAGGATACTCTCTAAAGGATTGATCTCTAAATGTGTGATCACGTAGTATACCAATACCTTTCAAGCAACTGCGAGATCAGAACGATTTATAGCATTCCTGATAGAGTAGGCAGGCTTGTTTTATTGACCGGGGTAAGGAAATTTTTGAAAGATTTACAGCTTTTAGTTCCGTCTCAGCTTGCTTTGTGATTCAATTAGATTCATTCTATTTACCTATCTTCGTAATAGGCATAATATGGACTTAAGCAGATTTAAAAATTTTCAACGTCTGGAAACCTAAGCCTTCTGAGCTGAAAAAATGTTTCTTTAAAACGCGTGTAGGGCAGAGATCCAACGTGACTTTTTCACTCGTTCGAAAGCATACCCTGAACGCCTTCTACAGAATTGGTTGTATTCTGCAGAGGGGTTAGGGTCCCGCCTTTGAAGACCACACATCCGGGACATCCGAGAGCTAGGCAGAGGCCCCGCCCCCAGAGGTCAGGACGTCCCTCCGCCGCGACCCGCCCTGTCCTCCCTGCGCGCGGGGGCGGAGCCTGCGCGGCGCGCGGCCTGAGCTCGCCGGAGCGGCGCCCGGGCTCCAGCCATGGCCGAGAGCGGCCGGGCGCCTCAGGCTCGGGCGCTTCTGCAGCAGTGCCTGCACGCCCGGCTGCAAGTACGCCCCGCCGAAGGGGACGCCGCGGCCCAGTGGGTGGAGGTAACGTCGGCCCCGCAGCTCCCGTCATCCTCCGGCGCGCAGGGGCGGTTCCTTCCGCGTTGTCTCGGTGACTTGTCCCCTCGCGGCTCCCTGCGAACCTGCCGCGTGGCGCCCGGCACGTGCTGTGGGCGGCGCGGGACTTCCGGTCGGTCCTCCCGGCACTGCCCACGGGGGCCGGCCTGGCTTCGCCTGTCTCCTTAGTCTTGCACCTGCGGCCCCGGCGCCTTCTCCCTCGGATTGCCCCCGAGGAAGAGCGGGTCCCCTGCTTGGGACCGCGGGAATTGAACCTCCTCTCCCCATCTGCTACCTGAGCTCGGTGGACCGTAGGCTTGATTGTCTCAGACTTCTTGCTGCAAGAGAGCAAAGGCCTTGCCGCGCCCTTCGCATTGCTCGGGCTGCGAGTGGCCAGTGCTCGTCTGGTTCGAGCTTGTAGATTAGATTTGTTGCAAACGTTCGAGGTCTGTTTTGACTTGTGCTCCAGATCCCATCGAATATCCTCTTATGTTGACTGCACCTAGTTCTTAGCACAGAAATGAGATTTCCCATGAAACAATTCTTTTTTTCAAGAAACTTTCAAAAATTTGATTTATTTCCGACTAGAAACCCTGCTTTTATAATGGTATATCGAAGTTGCATTGTATCTAACACATTTCCTCCAAAGAATTAAAAACATTTACACCAATATGATTTCCTTCTATTTGCATATTTGCTTTTTTAAGACGGCCTGCCCACACTCCATGCAAAAAGATTAAAATGTTCCTTAAGGCTCCTGACTTATTTTTGGAGTAAGTTGAAGTGAAGAAAAAACTTAGTTCATAATTAAGACTTTTCGAAGTACCCAGAAACTTTAACCTAGGAGCATCTTATTCACTCATCTGCCGAATTCTGTCCCAGATCTAGCAATCTTTAAAACAATCCTAGTCATTATTTTAACTACTACCTATAAACTGTGATATGTGGGTGGTTATTAAATCAAAATCTGTTACTCTGCTAATTGGAAATATTTGTAAGCGTAAACATTTCTATATTTTCCCTTCCCCTTTTCTTTCTCAAAAATTCATGTTTCTTATTTCTTAATTTGTTATGGCCTTTTTTTGAGGTCTTGATTTCTCTTCCGTATTTTGAAATTTTTTTTTTTTATATTTGCCATCCTATCCAAAGAATTGCCTATTTTCGTAGATGCGTCATGGGACTATAAATCCTAAGATATTAATCCTTTAGATTTCTTCCATGCTGCTTTATCTTTTTATATTCTTCATGCCACATCTCCTTATGCAAAATCACAGATGTTTTATTGCAGCCTTCCAAACTATCAGTTTGTGTTTATAAACTTAAAAGCCTTTCCCTTCCACTCCCACACATGCCTAAATTAGTGTAAAAAACTGACAAGTAATTAGATAGTAATTTCTCAAGCATCCTCTTACCTATTCTATTATTAAAAGTTCTGATTTTTTAAAAACTTTTAATTGTTGAAAGATTTGAGGGTTACTTTGTGTGTTCTTAGTTTCATTCATTTAGACCTTTGCTGACATAGGCTAACATTTTTCTTCCTGGGAGGTGAACATTTTTAAGCTAGAGTGAGAATGATCTGTACTTTCCTGTATATTTGAAATGTTTTATACCAAAAGAAGCTACAAGGAAAGTGATTCTGACTTGAAGAGGGGAATTTGTAGGTCACAACTTAAAGATTATTGGAATACACTAAAGGAGAATACCTTAATGAGGTAGTGTGGTGAGGGGAAAGAACAGGTGACTATTTCTGCAAATGATTAGATACTTAATTCTGACGTTGCAAGTGTCCAACTATGAATATGCTTGAGATTTTGGGTCCTGCTGAAACGATGCCAGTGGAGAGTCCTGTGATAGTGGTACAAATAACTGTATCCTTCAACCTGCCAGCTCCTCTTTATGGGTGTGCATTAGAGGTCCTTGCTTGTTCCGGAAGCACAAGTGCGCTTTTTAAAAATTACTTCTTTTCCAGGTAAATCAGATGTGAGTGCAGAGCTGTGTTTATATTTACATGGAAGACTATTTAAATAACACATACAGCCTGTAAGATACAGTTGAACTTAAATGCACTCAACAGATAAACAGAGTCCCTATCGTGTACAAAACAGTCTGTAAAGTGCTTTGGGGGTTAAAATGCAAAATAAATTGTATTTCAGCCCTTAAATTTATTTTTACATACTCATTTAATAAACACTTATATAGCTCTTACTATGAACCAGGCACTGTTTTAAGCACTTTACAAATATTAACTCATTTAATCTTTATAATAGCTCTTTGACTCAAAAAGTTTAATCGACAAAATAGAAAATTGAATGATTTGGGCCGGCCCAGTGGCATAGCGGTTGAGTTTGCACGCTCTGCTTCTGTGGCCGGAGGTTTGCAGGTTCAGATCCCAGGCGCGGACTGACGCACTGCTTGTAAAGCCGTGTTGTGGCGGCATCCCATATAAAGTAGAGGAACATGGGCGTGGATGTTAGCCCAGGGCCAATCTTCCTCAGCAAAAAGAGGAGAATTGGCAACAGATGTTAGCTTAGGGCTAATCTTCCTCAAAAAAAAAAATTTTAATGATTCACTCAGCGGCCAAATCAAAATCATTTATCAAGTGTCTCTGTTCCATATAGTCTCTATCCTGCAAGAGCTAATAAAGAAATATCCAAGTCATTATATAAAATAAATAAGCTTTAGACAACCTTGTGATGTAAAATTTAATATCCTAAATGCAATTTCCAAGGCCTAATCACTATGTTTATTTAAAGCATTAACAGCGATAACAAAAGATAATTGGACAGTTTCTTGGAATTTATTGAAATAGAATCAGATCCTTATTTTCACTCTCTGTAGGTAAATGAATTAGTAGGAATAAAGAGTGATGATGTCAAAAGATATCAGTCACACTATTGCTTATACATCAGCCAAATCTGATATAATGTGAATTCTTTTGATTTTGAATAAATGGGGCCCTGTACACTAAACATTTCTAAGTGTGTCAGACTGACTTAGGGAGGAGGAGGCTAGTTCATAGTCCTAAAGAATTTGATTAGAAGTGAATGTTTGAAGGTATAACTTCACTGCTCTTGGCTGTATTTTAAATTTAATTTTTGAGAGACATGATAACTGAGGTGATTGAATATTGAGAAAGATTTTGTTTTCTCACAGATTTAAGAAATCAAATCTACTGTAAAAACTTATTTTTCTTCCTTTGCATTTAACCTCTATAGGTACAGCAGTTGTGAAATTTTATTCGTTTACCTCTGTTTCTCTATATAAAAGTTGCTTTCTAATCTGAGTTTACCATGGTGATTTCTCATAGGTTCAGAGAGGATTAGTGATCTACGTGTGCTTTTTCAAGGGAGCTGATAAAGAACTTCTTCCCAAAATGGGTATGTATTTGATGTTCTTTCTTTTTTAAGAGTGGGAATGAATAGCAATACATAGATGAACCAGAAGGGCAAAAAGCACAATCTTAAGTTGTACTGGTGTGTAAATTATAAATGACTTAACTCTGTACTCTTGTTGGCTTCAGCTATTTGCCTGTTCCGAAGTTTAAAGGAAGCAAGTATGGTGGAATTCTTTTAAAACATCTGCAGCATTTCACATGGCTTACAGATTGGTTTAGAAGAGTGTACACACACACACAGACAACACACTGAGATTCAGCCAAGGATACAGAAACTTGTTGGAAGCAGGGTGGTCACATAGGGAGAAACAGATGCTGCATTTCTTAATATAGTTTCGTTATCTGCCAGAGTCCATGACGGTGGCATGTATGTGACACTGTATATGCAAGATTCGGGTCCCATCAAATCTGGACAGCTCAGGCTTACATCATTATTATGGAAGAATTTACATTAACCATTTATGCACTTCTTTGCAGGAAATGTGTATAAGTATGTGGTACTCCTGATTCTTGAACCAAGTTCACTGCCATCACAGGCACACCTCCTCCAGGGGCAGAGAAAGCAGAGTCAATGTTCAGGCATCTCTGAACAATGATTTACCTGCCTGCAGCTTTGCAGTATCCTGGATAGTCCATAGCACTGCACGTTCCTTGTGATGATTACATAGGTTCTGATATACCAAATCATATACTGTCTCAAGAGAGTATTTGATATAATAATTATGTCCAAAAAAGAAAAAACCTGAAATCATGGAGCTATCCCTAAGGTTGGGAACAGGTTGTATTCTCTTCATTAGTGAAGGACAGCACCCATTAGTTAGATTAATAAGAAATATAAACTGTACAAATGGGTATTTGAAGCCTGCAGAAGTTAACCTAGAAGAGCTTCAAGTAGTGGGACTCAAGGGTAAATAGCCCGATACAGAACAGCTTAGACAAAAGGCTAAAGCCCTTAGAGGGAATTTATACTGAGACAGCAAATGTGTTGATAGCTTTGTCAGAAGATGAAAACTAGACTTAAGAAGGGACTACGATAGGTGAGGATAGAAAACCAGCAACTGTAATAGTTTGAAATTTGAATCCGGAGGATAATAGAGATCTCTGAAGGGTTTAAGGAGAAAATGAAATGAAGGCTCCTGTTACAGAGGATGATTTGCCAAGTCCTAATGCTTTTGTGTTGGACATTCTGTCCATTTTCCTGAGTTAATATTTTGCCTTGAATTAAATCTTTATTGACCGTAGTAGAAATCTTCAAAATCAGGAAGAGAATTGTTGTCATTGTGACTTAAGATTGACTTCCTAAAGTTGTTTCATATATTCTTTTTTTTTTTAAAGATTTTATTTATTTTATTTTTTCCCCCCAAAGCCCCAGTAGATAGTTGTATGTCATAGCTGCACATCCTTCTAGTTGCTGTATGTGGGACTCGGCCTCAGGATGGACGGAGAAGTGGTGCCTCGATGCGCACCCGGGATCCGAACCTGGGCCACCAGCATTGCAGCGCGCGCACTTAACCACCAAGCCACAGGGCCGGCCCTGTTTCATATATTCTTAAATGGATCTTAATCATAATAAGATGAAATGAACCAACCAAATCCAAGCTGCAGTTTGTTTTATAGTAATTAAATTCTGTATCTGGCTGTCTGAGTACACTTTGAATATGTGGTTAAGATTGTGGTGAATTAAAAACACTGAGGAGGTCCGCCTTAACTCTTTCGGTGGGTGGTCTAACACAAAGCTTTGTACATCATGATTCTTAGTAAAGAACTGTGACTCTAAGAATCACATTCTGCTGGCATGAATTATAGGCAAAATAAGTCCATCTATCATTGATAGCGTTAGCTTATACTTTACTCCAGGAGGCAAAGTAAGCCAGTGTGATGGGCTTCTCTTAAAGCCCACCTCATACTTACTACGTGGATTCAGATCTTTCCAATCACATCAGGTACCCCTTGGGAAAATGACAACCAGTTATAGCCATAAAGTCTGAAATAGGAAGGCTAACACAGAGATGTGCAGAATCTTCCTTAATTCATCTTCAGTATAATTGGGCTGAGATCCAGGGACCTGTCTAAGGGTAACTTCCCATATACATCATTAGAGATACTTGTTTGACAACCTATCTTAGGATCTTTCCGTTTCCAACGTGCCACTAATTCATTGTCTCATTTTAATTCTACCTCCTGACATTTGTATTTATATTATATTTACTTCTACATACTGATATTTGTATACCAACAGCATTAATTGAATTCTCAGTGATAGCCAGTAGAGGGAGGTGTGGGAAAGTATAATAAATTGTACTTACCTCTCTGGCCTGTTATTCCAAAATTGCCTCCTTAGTCTGTCCCTAGCCTGAGGCCTGGATAGCTGGATAGTGATTTCCATAGGAATGAAGTGCTCTGGAGAATTACAGTTTCCTTAGAAGCAATCATTAAGAACTGCTGGTTATAGAGCAAAGTCCTATTTGTAAAACAGAAAATTAGAGGTATTTTAAAATAGATGTTAGTTAAGTGAAAACTGATAGCGCTTAATGCAGAGCTTAGGAATGAATTCATTTGGGTGTTCGCCTTCACAGATTTTTACCAGTTTAATTCCCTGTAGAGTGGGGCAACCATGCTGAATCCTTACTAATCTTTACTGCAAACCCTCTAATAATTGGAGCCATTGACTACCCCACCAGAAGGCGGACCTTTTCAAGTCTAATTATTGGGCAGGAGTATGAGGTTTATATAGTTTCTTTTACCATTTGTCCTCAGGACTATTATTTACAAACAGGAGTTACTTATACCCTTTATAGAGGTAGGAAGACCCTAAGGCTATTTATATTAGGCATCTCGTTTGTTTATTGTTTTGAAAATAGCTAATGTTGAGATGTAAATGTTTTCTAAGTTTAGATTTTTAGCTACACATAGATATTTATGGTGATTTTAACACTTCTTATTAGCTAAAAGTATAATTTCGTAAGTGCTATAAAAATAATAATACCATGTTTTCTTGTATGTGTATGAAGATAATGCCAGTAGCTCTATACCTTTTGATTTACTTTTTCAATAGTAATAATGAATTTCTGATGATTCTTGCTTTCACTTTTACCCTTCTCTTATGGGTTATATTTGTAAAATGATTAGTCCATGTTAATAGTGCCTTTGAGATTATGAAACTGCAAAATCAGCTGGTTTATAATGGGATTGAACCTGGAACCTTTGTCTCAGCTTAGAACTCTAGGCAACTAAGTTTAAAATAACAAACGCACTAAGATTTGTATTTGATATTCTTTGTTATAAAGCAGAATTTGGTATGAGGAGGATTTGACATGGTCTTTTTCCAATGGGATTTGCTTATGAAATATAAAAGGAAGCAAGAAGGCAAAATCTTCTCACGTATCCCCCTGAGGCAAGAAAATGTTGAGGTTCCAGTATATCGTTAATTCTTTAGTCCTTTCTGGATGAGCTTCTTGTTAGGTGATCTTAACTGCCAAGTCAAATTTAAAACATCATGCCATTTTCTGTGTGAAATTTGCCCTGTTTCTCATGCTTAGATCATTTAGCTTAGTGAAGCAGTTTTTAAAAACTAAATAGAGACGTTGAGTAAAAAGCATGAGCTGACAAACTGATCTTTAAATATGAGATTTGCTGACTAGAAGATTATTGGTTTTCTTCATGTTTGTTTTTAAGATGTTTTCCTTTTCTTCTCCACCCAGTTAATACACTGTTAAATGTGAAATTAAGTGAGACAGAAAATGGCAAGCACGTCTCTATATTGGATCTACCTGGCAACATTCTTATCATCCCTCAAGCCACCCTTGGCGGGAGAGTAAAAGGAAAAAACATGCAGTATCACTCTAACACCGGAAAAGAAGAAGGGTTGGAACTGTATTCCCAGTTTGTGACTCTGTGTGAAAAAGAATTAGCTGCTAACAGCAAGTGTGCTGAAGCTGGGGTTGTGGTGGAACATGGCACTTATGGGAACAGGCAGGTGTTAAAGCTGGATACCAATGGACCATACACACACCTAATTGAGTTTTGAAAAATTAAAAGTTAGTTTCTACAGTTGTTTTCAGGTATAAAATGATCTGGACTATAATTAGATTCCCCCCCCCCCTTTTTTTTTTTTTGGTGAGGAAAATCAGCCCTGAGCTAACATGTATGCCAATCCTCCTCTTTTTGCTGAGGAAGGTTGGCCCTGGGCTAACATCCATGCCCATCTTCCTCTGCTTTATATGGAACACCGCCACAGCATGGTCTGACAAGCAGTGCATCGGTACGCGCCCGGGATCTGAACCTGGGCCGCCAGCAGCGGAGCACGAGCACTTAACCGCTACACCACGGGGCCGGCCCCCCCACACCCCGCTTTGTCTTGAATACACTAATCTGCAGTATTTTTAGGCAAGAAAATCCTCAGTCCCATCCATAACTCTGCAACCTGCTAATTGGATGACCTTGCCAAGTCACCTAAACTCTGGATCTCAGTCACCATTTATCCTGCATTCCCCTACATGTCACTCAAAAATTTGAAAAATGCTTTCTATTCATTTTAGTCATTGTGGAAATGTTCTTAGGGAGCTGTATTTACATTGCAATGGAGAATTGTGTGCAATCGAGAAAAATATATTTCTTATACCCTCAGATGTACGTAGAATGTAGTAAAAATAACTGTATTAAAATTAGGTAAAATTGAGCACAAACTGATTATAGTTTTGTCGATTTTGTTTTACTATTTCAGTTTTCCATATTTTGAATGAAAGAATATGCAATTTACTATTTCTTTTAATATCTATGAAAATGTAATATAGAAATGTTATTGTGCATTATACTATTACTTTCCAAGGACATCCAAGTGCTTTAAATTGTTTTAAGAACCTTTAGTTGATATAGGAACAAAGTATAGGGGATTAAAAGTTGTTTTTATTTAATATACCAATGGGTTAATATTCTGTTTCTTAGTTTTTTACCAAAACAATGTATGTCTCACTTTCTGTCTTTGGTTTTTAAAAGTTACTGCTTCATGAAATTATTGTACATAAATTTTTTAGGAAGTTCCTTGTTGAATTAGACTGCTATAAAAGGAAGAAAAAGGGAAGCTTTCTACTGGAATTATTTGAAAACAAGTTGACTTGTTCATTTCCATATTATCTACTTAATGATTCAGAGTCAGTGTCACTTTTTCTACTAGTGAGTGTTGTGGACTGGATGTTTGTGTCATTGTCTCCCCACCACCACCCACCCGCCAAAATTCATATGCTGAAGTCCTAGCCCCCAATGTGATGATATTTGGAGACGGGGCCTTTGGGAAGTAATTAGGGTTAGGTGAGGTCATGAGTGGGGCCCTCAGGGTGGGAGTTAGTGGCCTTATAAAAGAGGTTGCTCTCTCTCTCTCCCCCACCACATGAGAACAGAGCAAGAAGGGGACATCTGCAAGCCAGGAAGAGAACTCTCACCAGAAACTGACCATGGTGGCACCTTGATCTTGAACTTCTAGCCTCCACAACTGTGAGAAAATAAATTTCTGTTTAAGCCACCCAGTCTGTGGTATTTTTTATGACAGCCCAAGCTAAGTAGCTGACTAAGATGGTTATTACGCAGAAGCTGACTAAGCTAATAAGGTAGACTTTTCAAAGGCAAGAGAGGAAGATATGTAAGAAATTGAAAGAGTAAATGAATCAATAAGAGGTAATATTCAGTTTTTGCAAACTCCTCTGACTTGATTTTAAAAGATATTTTAAACAGTAAAAACCAAATATTTCTGATTACCAAAAAGATGAAATTAACTTGAATAAACATCTGCTGAAAATTCCTTTGTGTCTTATAATTTCTTTAGGTCTGTGTTCCTAAGATACTTAAAATTTTTATCATCACAAAAAATCCTGTTTTCTCTATATCCTTCCTGTGCTATTCTATTTTGGAACTTGAAAATCAATAACTGGCTTGGTAATGAGCTCATTGTCCTTAACTTTTGCTTTATTGATTCACAATACACTTATTGAAATGTAATAAACTATTCATAAACTTGCAAACTCCAATTTTCTCAAAGCTTCTCCAAGGAGGTGTATATGTCTTTCGGAAAGACCGCGTCTTACCTATTTTAAATCGTTTTGATTTTGTGTCTAGGTGAAATGCTGTCTCACAGCCCTAGATTACTGTTTTATAGCTCAGGCATTTGTCCTTAAAAAAAAAATTTGAGTACTTGTGGAGAATAGCAATTTCAACTACATAAAGGGTTATTAAGCAGCAGATGATGGCCAACTTTGTTTCATTTCCAAGGAAACTAGAGCAAGAATTTGGCAAGAGAACTGGTGAATATGAAAATGACTACACCTTGGCTTTCTGTAGCTCTTCTGGCCTAAGGTGCTCAAAGAACCATCAATAGGTGTTTTATCTTCACAGTATATAATGAGGATAGTGCTGTGGAAAGTAAGATAATGCTTAAATACTTTTCCCAAGATCACACGGTAGGGAGGAATAATTTCCATCTTCCCAACTTTTGTTGAAGTGTGAGTTGTTAAAGTTGAAATTGATCTTGATAAAGGCTTAGCATCTCCCGGTGTGGAGCACTTGAGAAAGAACAGCCAATAAACTGGTTTATTTACTAAATTACATGGCAGTAGGGTTGCACCTAATTTAGGTGCCTTCTACGTCTGTTTATCTAGGATTCTAGAATGTTTCAATTAGAATATCATTTCTAAATACTATTTTATCTGTCCATTTGGAAACTTCATGGATTCCATTATAGAAAAATACTGTGTATAAGACACGAACTACCAATGAGTGTGGTGTTAATAACTTGAGTATACTCATATAAAGTAAAATAAACACTTTTACCATTCTTTCATTAGTTCAAGGCAAAAGAAGGCATGCCATTTATGAATAATATCTGTATTAATCATGATTTATTGACTCCATAATGAAAGAACTAAGCTTATCAAATATGAGGATAAATAGTGCAGAATCCTATGCCACTTTTTTGGAGAATAAGAACTTAGATTGGTGTTATAAAAGAACAATGACACGTCAAATTTTTACTATCTATAATTAACATTGCAGAGGACCTGATTTATGTTATAGTAAAATTTATATTTTAAAAAAACCCCACAGGATAATGAAACTAAGATATCTAGATGTGCCTTGCCTATTAATTTATTGAAATAAGACTAGTTGCTGAAAAGGAAGAACTACTATAAAAGTAACATTTTCATCCCGAAGCCACACCTTGGTGATGACTTTAAATGTCTGTTTATTTTGATAGTCTTCTAATTATTCCCCTTTCCTTTTATTTCTCTATCTCAAATACTTTTTTGCAGACCATCTCCAAGGTAATGTTCCTAGAATATTCCTTTCTCTATAATATTCCTCTATTTAGAAATTTCTGTAACTCTTTTTATCTACAGGACGAAGTCTAAACTTCTGAGGTTGACATGAAGGTTCTCCATACTCCTCAGGAGTAAATGAAATCATGCAGGGAGAACTGTAGAGGACCAGTCAGAATTCTGAGAAAACATAAAGAAAGGGCAACATATAAGATGCCAGAGGACACTGTCCAGATCAGAGAGACAGAGAGAACCAGAAAAATGCCCCGGTAACAGAAGATAGTTTTCAACATGTAAACAGTGACAAAGTCCGCGCCAAATCCTGAAGAAAAATTGGATAATACAAAGACCGAGGAGAGACCCCTGGGCCTAGCAGTTAGGTGTTTCTGAGCTTTTGGGAAACTGAGGTAAAATTTGCAAGAGTTAGTAGAAGTAGAAAACGATTCTTAATCTTTTGTCCTAGAGCAGAGTGTCTCAAAGTGTGCCAGTGGACCTGTACCAGGCTCACCTTGGGAGCCTAACATTTTAACAAAATGCAGTTCTCTGGGACCATCCCAAACTTACTGAATTAAAATCTCAGGAGTTAAACTCTTAGTCAGCAATCTCCCTCAGGTGATTCTTGTGTACACTGGAATTCTAGGACCAGTGTTAATCAGAATGAAGCCCAGACTTCTAAGGCTGGTATCAAGGTTTTATAATCTGGGTCCAGTCAACTTTCTAACCTTTTCTCCCATTACTTCCCTATAGAAGTTCTCCAGCATACCGCTGTTTATATTTTTCTTAGATCATGCCCACACCTAAATTGCCCTTTGCTCTCCTCTAAATCTGTCATCATTCAATATCTAGCTCAGGTCAATCTCTTCTGACCTCACGGTATTTCTCCTGCCTCTACTTTCCTCGGCACTGTGATTGTCGCACTCTTGACACTGTGATGTGTCTTATGAGACTGAGTACTTTGGCTTTAGTTTTTTATGTTGGTCTGTCTTGACTGCAAAAGTATAAATAATATTGGGCAGAGACAATATAGTAGTGAGCATACATAATATAGTATAATTGTTTTCTCTCTCACAGTGCTTCCATAGCTCTGTGTATGTTGTCCATGCTCAATAATTCTCAGCACATATTATCTGAATTAATATGGAGATATGTCAGTGGCCAGAATACTCTGGATTTTGGTTCAGTTATACTAGTACTTCACACATAGTTTTCTTTGCCATTAAGGAATAAAGAGAGGTTGGAATGTGCAGGAAGCAAGTTTAAATCAGCTACCCTTTGCTTTACTACAATAGATAACACCAGAAAAGTTAGAGACAAACCGAAATGAAGGATTTTTGAGTCTCAACACAAATGTGGGCGTTGCTGTTTCTATTTTATTGCCTTATTACTTCAGAGTGGTCACTATATTTTCTTAAAGTTCATGCTATAGTACCTTTCTAATATGGTGTAACTGTAATAGCTCCATGCCCAAAAAAGCAAGGCGTTCTTAAAATACAGAAGAGAAAAGCTATTTCATTTTTAAAAAACCTGTATTTGAGTCCTTTGTAAAACAAACTTTTTGTGAACCAAATAAAAATGTCTTTATTTTGTTTATAAATATGAATTTTGATGCAACAAGCCTTGTTAAGACTCTTCTGTATTTAATTACAAAATAAAGCAGTTCTGTGGGATGCATCACAAATAGGCAACTTCATGATAAATATGACTCTACTTTTTATTAGACTTTTCCATATGAATGAATTCTTTGCACTGGGTTAGCCAGCATTTTTCTCTTAAGAAG